TACGACGAACCGTCTTTTTCACTTCTTCGAGCATTTCTTCAATGCGACCGGCGCGTGATATGACGCGCAAGAACGTGTTAGAGCACCAGTCGTTCATCTGGACGTCACGCTCCGTCATATCACGAAGCACCGAGTACGCGCGCTCGACGCTCTCCTCGACATCCTCGACGTAACAGCACGCTTGCAGTGCGCACCCGAAAGTCACAGTCGTGCAGTTGACATCAGCTTCAATCATGCGCGCGTACGTTTCAAACGCAGATAACGGCCGGTTGCCTTTGACCTGAGCGTCCATGAGCGCGGTGAACAAAAACTCGTTCGGCGTCACGCCGTCGTCGATGGCGGCTTTGAATATTTTTTCCGCCTCGGTGACTTTACTTCCACGCTTTGATCGGCTCAAGGCGACGATGAGCGCGACGTACGTTCGCACTGTAGGATTGATTCCGTTCGAGACCATGTCGTGATACAGTCCCATGGCCTTGACGTCGTCATCAGCGCACGCGTAGATGAGGGAGTTGTACGTAATCGTATCTGGAAGTTGACGTTCCAACCCTCTCCGCGCGCGCGCGTTCCAATTCTCTTCGTGCGCCTTGCGGTACTTGAAAATATCGTTTTTGAAGTCGTCGTAGACTTTAAACGCACTCTTGAAATCACCAAAGTGCAAATGTGTGGCGATTAAGCCGTTGCGAACGCCCGTGCAGTCTCGAACCATCGCCGGGCTCTGTTCGATTTCGCGCTGCACGCGGGCAAAGTACTCGATGCCCTCCTTCGACGCTTCGAGCGCGGACGTCAAGGCGTACGTCAAGTGCAACCATTCGTGTCCCACACGATGCGAGCGAGTAGAAATCATAATCTTGAGCACTTCGATCGCGCGCGCGGCGCGCCCACATCGAGCGCAAAGCGTTATCAACGCCGACCAGACGCGTCCGTTGGGCGTTGACTCGGCGCGCCGTTCGTCCCACTGCGCGTCCTCTATGAGCGCTTGCACGACGCTCTCTCCGCGTTCCATCGCGACATCACGCTCGATTTGCTCGAGCGCGACGCCGCGAGCATACGTCTGGAGCATAGAAGTCACCATGTGATCGTTCCCTGCGTTGCCACACGCGCCAGATTCCAACGCTTGAGCGAACAAGTCCTCCGACCAACGCACGTCGACGTCGTCCGCCGCCGCGCCCGCGGCGAGCATGGCGCCGTATGTGATCATGGTTGGCTGTAAATTCGCCGTCTCGATCTCTTCCCAAGCCCACATCGCGCCCGGGAAGTGCTTTTTGCGCGTCGCCGCGGATATGACGCCGTTGTACGAACGAATATTCGGCGCGCAATTCGGCGTCGTCTTCATGCGCTCGAGCGTCGCCCTCGCGCCGTCGTAATCACCCCCGTGCGCACACACGTCTATGTACGCGTTGTACACCACCGTATCCACCGCATTGACCGCATTCGCTTCCTCGAACACCTCTCGCGCCGTCCTAGCCTTTCCGCACCGTCCCGCCGCGCACACGAGCGCGCTGTACGCGTACGGATCCGGCTCCAACCCCGCTTCGTCTCGTCGAAGCTCAAACGCCTCTCGCGCGATGTTCCACTGATTCGACCCCTCCTCGCGACCGCACAGATAAATCACCGTGCAATACAAATCCTTCCCGCGCGCGAAATCGCGATCGCGCGCGTCGAAGAGACGCGCGTACCGCAGCGCCGCGTCCATCCTGTACGTCTTCACGCACAGCTTCATGAACCCCTTATGCGATTTCGCGAGCGATTTCGCCATCGCTTTCGACACCACCGCGCGCGTCATCCGCGCGTCCCCTTCCCCCCGCCTCGCCAGCGTCGCCAGCGCCTTCACCGCACCGTCGACGTCCCCGGCGCGCAGCGCCTCCGCGTGTCCCCGCCTCGCCGCCGCCTCCGCGTCCGCGTCCGCGCCATCCGTCCCGTACGACGTCGACGTCCCTTCCCCCGCGCGCGCGTCCATCCCGACGTCCGTCCGTCGCGCGCGGTACGCCCTGTATTCCCTCCGCGCGCGTTCGCGTTCGCGTTCGCCCTCGCTCGCGCCGCGCTCGCGCCCTCGTCCCGCGCGCGTCTCTCCTCGCGTCTCATCCCGCGCGCGCGCGCCGTCGTCCCTGTCCGGCACGATCGCGCGTCGCGCGACCATCGTCCGCGTCCCGCGCGCGCGCGCGGCGCCCGTCGCGCGCGGCGGCGCGCCGCACGCGCGTCGAATCGCCATCGCACCGCCGCCGCCGAATCCCAACCCGAATTCGCGTCGCTTCCGAGCGTCGCTCGACGCTCGCGGCGGACGCGCGTCGACGCGCGACGCGCGCGCGTCGCGCGCGCGTCGCTCCGACGCGCGGCGCGCTCGCGGCGCGACTCGGCGCGCGTCGGCGCGGCGATGTGACGCCGCGCGTCCGTCGGCACTTCCCGCGGCGCGCGCGCGATGGCGGACGAGGTCGACACCGCGCGCATGCGATCGCGCCGCGCGACGGACTCGTCGTCGGACGCGCGCGCGCGCGGACGCGCGCGACCGACGGCGCGCGCGCGCGCGCGCGTCGGATGCTGCTTCGGCGCGCGGGACGCGGCGTCGGACGACGAGGACGCGCGACGCGACGCGAGCGATGGGTCGACGAGCGCGAGCGACGCCGACGCGGGTCGGACGTCGGACGGGACGCGCGCGCGCGCGACGTCGACGGCGTCGGCGTCGACGTCGGCGTCGGCGTCGGCGGGCGAGGCGAAGGCGAGGCGGCAGAGCGTCGACTACGCGCTGCGCGCGAGTCAGGGATCGCTCGCGTCGGGGGAAGAGGCGACGGCGAACGCGAACGGAGGAGACGATGAGTTCGTCGGCGACGCGGGATCGGCGGAGCTGACGTATTTCGTGAAGCTGAACGCGAAGATGCTGGCGAAGCGACGGAGAGCGACGAAGAGCGAATTGGAACCGCTGTGCGAGGCGCTGTCGCAGACGTTTACGTTTTCTGAGCTCGATGCGAACGTCAGGCGACGCGTGGCGAGCGAAATGTTCTTCATCAACGTGCCGGAGGGGACGATTTTGATGGAGGAGGACGAACCGGGCGACGCGTTGTATCTCATCGCCGGAGGCGAATTCGACGTGCTGCAAAATCGGCTCGGCGCCGATATCAGCGTCCTCACGCGCACGAAAGGCGATATCATCGGCGAGTTAGCTTTACTTTATAGCGTGCCGCGCTCGGCGACGGTGCGGGCGAAGACGCGGTCGCAGGTTTGGGTGTGCACGCAACAAGTCTTCAAGAGGGAGGTCAAGCACAGCGTCGAGGCGACGACGCTCGCGAAGAATTTATTCCTCGAACAAGTTCCCGTGCTCAGCGCTTTACCGATCGACACGCGGAAGTCGTTCGCGGATGCCTTGGAGACGGTCTCGTTCGACCCGTACACGGACGTTATTACCGAAGGCGAAGCGTGCGACGGTAAATTTTACCTCGTCAATTCGGGGCGAGCGCAAGTTTCCAAGCTCGACCCGGACACGGGTGAACCGCGCACGGTGAATCACTTGTTTCGACACGACTTTTTTGGTGCTTCCGAGATCATTCGCGGTGATGAACCGCGAGAGTACACCGTGCGATGCGTGGAAACTCCTCTGGTGTGTTACGTCGTCAATCGAGACGTGTTCCTCGAGAAGCTGTCATCCGTGCGCGAAGATTTACTTCGAGAAAAGTCTCGAGAAGTCATTCGTAATCGCATGCGGCAGCTCAAGGGTGAAAAGTCGTGGCGCTCCGCCCGAATTCGCCTGTTAGGTAGCGCGCGCGTGGGAGGAAAGAAGGTGAACATTAGCATGTACGGCTCAGTAAACCCGAGGTCGTTCGCCACGGACGTCAATCGGGAGTTGGGGTCGATCGATTTAGTGGAGAAGGAAATGCTCGGTGGAGGCACTGGTGGGCACGTGTATCGCGTTATTCAAGAAGGTATGAATGTGTCGTCACCGCGCGCCTTCGCGCTCAAGCGCGTGCGTAAGCGTGCCGTGATGGAGAGTCCGTCGCACATTTTCTGCGAAAAGGAAGTCACGAGCGAAATCAGCCACTTTTCGTTGATGTGTCAGCACGCCAGTTTCCAAGACAGGAATCATCTGTACATGCTTTTCGACATCATGGATGGGTGTGACTTGATGGACATGCTTGCGAGCGCGGTGCAAGTGAAGTTAATTCCGACACAAATCGATGGTGAGATTCGCCACGTGCCCACGCAGATTGGCATCAGCGAAGACACGGCGCGATACTACACCGCCATGGTTATTCTCGCGTTCGAGTATCTGCACGGCAACCAAATCATCTATCGCGACTTGAAGCCAGAGAATGTATTGCTTGCGCTCAACGGCAAATGTAAGCTCGGAGATTTTGGCTACGCGAAGAAACTTGACGTCGGCGAACGCGCGTTTACGTTTTGCGGCACCCCTGGGTACGTGGCGCCAGAAATTGTGCTGTCCACGGGATACGGCTACGCCGTCGATTGGTGGGCGCTGGGTGTTTTGACGTACGTCACAATAACGGGACAACAGCCGTTCACGATATCAAAGGATCCGTCCCAAAAAGACGATCCATTGAAAGTGATGCGGCGAATCGTGGACATGTCGTACGAGGTGCAATACCCCACGTACGCCACCGACGAGGCGTGCAATTTTATTTCTCAGCTCTTGCAGCGAAACTCGGCGAAAAGGCTCGGAAACATGCAAGGCGGGGTCAGTCAGATTAAGAGACACCCTTGGTTCGCCAAGTTTGACTGGGCGCTGCTAGAGAGTGGCGAGTACACGCCCAAGCCGCTGACGCTTTCGCGGCAGTTTTTAGAAATTCAGCGCGAACGTCTTATCGAGATCGAACGGGAATCGTTGCTCGCAACTGAAATGGATTCGGCGAGAGGACCGACGGATGCGTCTATGAATCGTGCGAACGAGATTTTCAAGGATTTTTAAGAGCCATGACAGAAAGTGCTCACATCACAGCGTTACAGCGTTTTAGCTACATAGGTCAAATTTGTCATTATACCATACATCATCGTCATCGCTTGAACAAAAATTGCAAGTCTTCGGCAGTCAGTTGAGAAAGCGCGGCTTGATTGCCGTCCATACACCCTTCGAACACAAGCTGCTTCTTTTCTTGAAGCTCCATCATGCGTTCTTCAATCGTGCCTTTGGTCGAAAATCGAACAGCGGTCACCGGTCGAAGCTGCCCGATGCGATGTGCGCGCATCACGGCTTGCATTTCCACCGCTGGGTTCCACCATGGCTCAAGAACGTATACGTAATTCGCCGCTTGCAAGTTGAGTCCTTCACCGCCAGATTTGAGACTCATCAAGATCACGCTGACGTTTGGATCTTCTCGGAAAGCTTGCAAATTCGCCGCGCGTTGCGTGACCGGCATGGAACCGAGAAGCTTGGCGATGGTAAACTTGGCCTTTTTCAAACGCCATTCGACGATTTCTATCATGGCTGTGTACTGCGAAAACACGATGGCTTTGTTTAAGTGCCCATTTTCTTGATTACGCATGTCTCGCAGAGCGTTAACGAGCGTCTCAACCTTTGTGCTCGACGTGTACTGCGTGAGATCGAGCTTGTTGAGAATTGACTTGTCTGGTAGCGCATCCTTGAAATTACGACTAATGGCACTCTTGACGTTTTCGAGACTTTCTGGAGAGAAGTCAATCGTCAACGCCGTGCGACAGACGGGACAAGTCACTTTTTTGCCATCCGCAGGCGCACAAGACGCGTATTGCATGATGCACTCACGATGGAAAATGTGTTTGCAATTCGCCAGAGCCGCGTCTTCTTCCTCAATTTCGTCCTGACACATGCCACAATAATGCTTCGGAACGTCGGTGTCTGCCGGGGATTCAACTTTCGGCGCGTCAGGGGCGTCTTTTTTCACGTTCGCACTCTTCGAATGAATCACCAAGTACGGATGATCGCACGCTTGTCGCAGTCGTGCGAGGAGCTCGAAGACGTGTGCGTAGTTGTGCAAAACGCTCCCTTTCTTCACGAACGCGTCGAACTTCGAGCGCGTCAGCATGTACAGAGACTCGTAAAAGTCTTGTTCAACCTCATTGAATGTGTTTTCTTGAATGATAATCTTCAAGTCCGGCAGTCGCACGTCCTCGGCGCGTTCCGCCTTGGTCCGGCGAAGTTGCATCGGCAACAAAATGTCATTTCTAAGAGTCAGCATCGCTTTCTTGCCGTCACCGATGTAGCCATAACGGTTGATCGGGTTTAGCACGGTGCGATTGAAATGCGAATAATGCCTAGGAGCGCCGCATCCGCAGTTGGTACAAAATCGCGCCTGAGGACCGAAGTTCCAGGTGAGCGTTTTGCACTCGCAACCCTTCGTCGAACAAAAGTAAAACGCGTACGGATCCATACGCAAAAATCTCACCAAGCTGTAAAGATCGCCGATTCGATTCTGCAACGGTGTACCTGTCAAACACCACTTATACGTGGATTTCAAAGCGTAGATACACTTGGCGGTGTTGCTCGTGCGCGCCTTGATCTTGTGCGCTTCGTCGAGAACGATTCGGTGCCACTGCGTGCGATGAAGAAGGGAATCCGACAAATCTACGTCGTCTTCGTCTTCAAACTGGCTCCCACCTTGCGAACCACCTTGCGAGGTTTGCGGAATGTCGTCGATGTTGGACGCCTTCACGTCGTCCGCTTCCTCGGTTTTCGCCGGCGTTTTCTTTTTCTTCTGTTTCTTCTTTGGCTTTCTATCTTCGCTCTCGCTATCGTCGACTAATATGATCTCATCATCTTCGCTATCACTGTCCGGTTTGTAATCACTTTCAGCCTCGCCGTCGCTAGCTTCGCGCAGACTCTTCTTCTTTTTCTTTGCGCTCGAAGTCGAAGTCGCTTTACCCGAAGCCTTCGACTTGCGCTTCTGCGCCTTCTTCACCGTACTCGCTATCGCCGCCGTTGACGCGTCAGCCAAGGCGGGCTCGTTCACTGACTCGACCTCTTTTTCTTTCTCCTCAATCGACTCCTCTTTGATATTCTCAACTACAATCGTCGGCACTGGAAGCTGCGAAATCAAAGCTTTCAGAACTTCGCTCGGCTCGGCGACGCCGTCTTCAACTTCCTCCTTGACGACGACGACGTCGCCGCCCGGGGCGAGACCTGAAGCCGCGCGTGCGCGCGCCTTGTGCGCGCCATCATACATGCTCAGCGTCTCCCGTCCGGCCATCGCCATGAGTTCCTTGTATACGTTCGCCATCGTGGGAATCCCCTTCTTCACGTCCTTGGCGCTGCCCGGCTTGATTTTCAGCGTGCGCATGGCTTTTTCGTTCGCCACGTCGCGCGTCACCTCGCGCCGCGCGAGTTTTTCCGTGCGCACGGCGTCTGGTCCACAGAAGTACTTCAAGTGCGTCACCATGGAGCGAGGTAAGTACTTTTTCCCACACCACTGACACGCCGTCAAGTGTCGGTTGATGATTTTCCGCCACTCGGCTTCGACGACGGGATACGTCGTCAACACGACGTCGTATCCTTTAAAGTCTCCTTCCACGACGTTTGCGCGATCAGCGTAATACACAAACACGCGCAGCGACCCTTCCTCGACGCACGATTTGATCTCTTCTTCCCACTGAACGAGCGCCGACGTCGGCACCACCACGAGCGTCGGCGGCGGTCTGTCGTCGTCCGTCACCATCTCCCCCACCTCGGCGCGGTCTCGCATCCACGCCTCCTTCCTCGCCAGCAACATCGATATGCACTGTATCGTCTTCCCCATCCCCATCTCATCCGCCAATATCCCCCCCTTCGCATCGCCGCTCTCGTTATCGCACATCCACCGCAACCCCTCGCGCTGAAACCCCAACAACGGCCGCGTCAACGCCCGCGGCGCCTCCATCGGTTCCACCGCCGGCCGACGCAAAAACTCCTCGCTCGTCACGTCCAACGCCGTGTTCTCGATCTCCGGCCGATCCGGCGACAGCACCGTCGCCAGCAACACCTCCCGATCCCCATCCTTCAGCGCGTCCAACCCGTGCACGCGCGTCTCCAGCTCCTCCCTCGTGACTCCCTCCGCGCGATAACACTCCGGATGCATCCACTTCGATATCCATCCGTAATCGCCGCCGCGATACTTGAGCGGTTCCCCGATTCGCACCGCGTCCTTCGCGATCTTCGTCGCCGATCCGAACCCCTCGTCGTCAGTCTTTTTTCTCTTCTCTTCGCGTCGATTCGTCGATTCGCCGCACCTTTTCCCCGCACTTCCCGCACTTCCCGCGTCCGCTCTTCGCGTACTCGCACGCGTGCGTGTACGCCGCGAAAGCCTCCTCGTCGTCGTCGAATATCGGGCGCCAGGTGACGCCCTTACCGTCCCACGACGGGACGATCGTGAGTTCGACCATGCGCGCGCGCGACGCCGCTCGCGGGCGCGCGAGAGGCGCGCGCGCGCGTCGAGACGCGTCGAGACGCGTCGAAAAGTGACGTCGGGGCGTTCGCGCGACGAATGACGATGACGGCGAAAAGAAAGATTCTGATTCGAACGACAAAGAGCGCGCGGTTTCGAACGCGCGCGAGAATCGACGCACGGCGAGCTTTTAAGACGCGTTCGATCGACGCGACGCCGAGGGATCGGCGAACGCGCCCGGCACGGCCGCCATCGCGTCGCGCGCGCGCGCGTCGTCGAAGCCGAAACACGCGAGCACGCGAAGCGCGAACTCGAGCAGCGCCGCGTCGCACGCGTCGAACGCGGCGTCGCGCTCGCGCTCGCCCGCGGCCGAAGACGCGAGGACGCGCTCGAGCGCCTCGAACGAGGCGCGACACGCGTCGAGGGTTCGAAAGACGTCGACGGATTCGCGAGACGCGGCGTCGCGTCTCGCCGCCGGTCCCGAAGTCGCGGATCGAGCCAGAATGGCCAGCGTGCACACCTCTCGCGCGTTCGAGTACATCTCCAGCGAATCTCGCGGATTCGTGCAATCCAGCGTCGCGCTCGTCAATCGCTCGCGAAGCGCGGCGTCGTCGAGCGTCGCGGCGTCGTCGTCGAGTTCGCGCCGCAGCGCCGCGAGTCGCCCGCGCGCGAGCGCGATCGGGCCCAACAAAAACCGCGCGTTCGCCGCCTTGCGCGCGTCCGCGACCGCCTCGAGCGGGTTCGCGCGCGCCGCGAGCGCCGGCGCGAGCGCCGGCGCGAGCGCGAGCGCGCGCAGCGCGTCGCGTCGCGTCGTCGATGTCGTCGTCGTCGTCCGGTCGGCGCGCGCGACGACGCCGCGACGCCGCGAGCGACGCGCCGGCGCGCCGCGGTCGACGCGCGCGCGCGCGCGCGCCGTCGTCGCGCGCATGTCGCCCGCGATTCGTCGTCGAGTCGACGAATGACGCGCGCGCGCGCGCATTCTCGCATGCATTCATTCGCGCGCGTTCGAACACTCCGCGACGCGCGTTCGAATCGCGCGCCATGACCGCGTCGACGCCCGCGAGCGCGTCGTCGTCGAGCGTCGCGGACGACGTCGAGCGGCTGCGACGAATCGCGCGCGACGCCGCGGAGAAGACGCACGACGTCTCGCGACGGTTACGAATCGCCGAGTCGGCGCTCGACGACCTGCGCGGCGCGCGCGCGAACGCGCGCGTCGCGACGGAGACGGCGATCGAGATCAACGTCGCGAGAGGCTCGAACGACGCGTCCGAAGCGATGAAGAGCGACGCGCGGCGGACGATGCGGGCGACGCGCGAGACGCGGGCGACGTTCGGCGACGCGGGCGCGGAGGGCGAGGCGACGGTGAGGTTCGCGAGCGCGCGGGCGGATTATCTGGCGAACGAGGACGAGTACGAGGCGCGAGTGGTGACGCTGGAGAAGGTGACGTTCGCGCGGACGGTGCGGGAGACGGCGAACGGGGTGAGGGTGCGGGCGCGGGCGACGCCGTTCGGCGCGGAGGGCGTGGACGCGTGCCCGGGAGGGGTCGGCGGCGCGAGACGGTCGCACAGACTCACGGGATTCGGCGCGCTCGGGTCGAACTTGATCGAAAGATGCGAACAGGACAGCATGGGGGCGGTGTCGGTGGAGTACAAGGATAGGTTCGCGGCGCACTTGGGGGTGTTCACCGGGAACCGACAACCCGAGGACAACATGGGCAAGGTGCTCGCGCAGGCGAGCGCGAAGAGCTCGACGTCCACGCGCCACGTGAACTTCGCGGTGAACGCGTCGAGGTGTCAGAGCGGCGAAGCCATCCTGGGCGTCGCGCTGACGGTGGCGAAGACGCTGCCGAAGACGACGAGAGCCGTCGTCGGTAACGCCTGGGGGCAAGTCGCCGTCAGGCAACCGAACGCGCGCGAGGATTTAACCGAGTGGGGGATCGCCGCGAGCGTGCCTCCGACCAAAGGCGCGGGACTGGTGAAGAACGCGGGATGGGGGATCGTCGCCGGCAAGCCCGCCAATCGCGGCGGCGTGCAAGCCGAGGCGTTCTTGCGCATCGGTTCCGACGGCGAAGAACCCGGCTCGACGTTGATTCCGGGCGTCGTAATCTCCACGGATGATCGCGGACATCGCCAGACGACGCTGGCGTGTCGCGCGCACTTGCTGTGGTGAGTCGTCGTCGTTTAATAAGGTTGTCGTTTTAATAATCCAATTTTGTTTCGTTTCTTTAATACAGTTTCGTTTCGTCGTTTCGTTTCTCGTCGTCATTCGCTCGCGATGACTTTTTCCTTCAACCAATGCGGCTTTCTATCCGGCGCATTCTCATCGCTCTCGCGCAGCGCCTCGGCCTCGGCCTCGCGCTTGGCGTACGCTTCGGCTTTGACCGCCGCTTCGGCTTCGTAACGCGCGCGCGCGGCTTCGTCTTTTTGCCCGGTGAGCACCAAGTAGTGCGCGACGGAATCGTAGCCCATCGCCAAACTGCGGCGATACATGGTGCCGGTCGGCGGGTATCCCTTCTTCGTTCTACAAAACGAGCAATTGCATATGTCCAAGCAACTCGGACACCGCCACGCGTCGCCGCGAGCGATGACCTCCCGAATATTAAGTCCCTGCCGCATGTAGAGGCAGTCGCCGCAATACACCCCGCGCATCATCTCGCACCCCGCGCACGACGTCCGCAGCCCTTTCGTCTTCTGTCGGCACTGATGACAGCACTGTCCATTCACCGGGTCGTATATTCTGCGCCCTTTATCGTCGTAACCGTCCTCGAACAGCGTCCACGGCTCGGCCGCGCTTCCCAGAGCCTCCGCGTGCCGCGCTTCGTACACCTCCTCGTTGTACCGCACCTCGAACAAATCCCGCGACGCGTCGTTCGGATCGAACGCTTCCGGTTCTTCGTTGCGCACGCGCCGCGACGCGCGCACGGGCGCGGCGCTGCCCTTATTCTCCTCGTTCGACGTCCGCTCGAAGGCGTTCGAAAAGTTTGTTTTTTTGCGCTTCTTTTGCGCGTCGCGCGCGAGCGATTTCGCGTGCTCCAGCACGCCGAGCTGCGCCATGCGTCGTTTGTTCGCCTCGATGCGCTCGAGGCGCTCTAACTCGTACGCGCTCATGGCGACGGACGAACGACGCGACGTGCGGCTTTGGAATCGCGAGCTGTCTTTGGAATTTTAAATTCCAAAGCGACGCTCGGACGCGACGTTCAGACGCGCCGCGGCGATCGAACGACGGCGCGCGGGTTCGCGAACGCAAAACACAGCGTGATGATGATACAACAATATCGCGCTCGACGACGGCGCGTCGTCGTCGCGTCGACGCCGCGTCTCGCGCCGCGTCGTTCGTCGTCGCCGAAAATTCGTCGCCGAACGCGCGTCACGCCGAAAATCCATCCCGCGAATCGTCGCCGTCGTCGTCTCGCGCCTCGATCGCCCCCTGCACGTCCACCGCCATCGCGTACACCGCGATCGACGCCGCGCCGTGCGTCGCGTACGCCAATCCGATCGCGACGCCGCGACGCGAGACGCCGCGCCGAGCCACCGCGAGCGTCGCGCACGCCGCGCTCGCGCACGCGTCGATCACCGCGCTCGCGCCGCCCGCGACGCGCAGCGTCGCGAGCGCGCCCTGGACGCCGCGCCGCCCGCGCGCGCTCGGGACGAAGAACGTCGTCGCCGCGAGCGCGCCGAGGACGCCGGGCACGAGCGCGACGTACAGCGCGCGCGGCGCCGCGACGACGAGCGCGATCGACGCCGCGCCCCACGCGCCGACGAGCGGCGCGCTCGCGCTCCAGCGCGCGATGGCGCGACGCGCGAGCGCGTCGGCGCCCGCGCGCGCCGGCGCCGGCGCCATCGCGCGCGCGAATGCCGACGACACAACCATGCGCGACGACGACGCGGAAACCGGCGCGCGCGCGCGCGACGCGCTCGCGAGGCACGGCGAGGCGTTCATGGCGATGTTCGACGCCGACGACGACGGCGCGCGACGGCGACGCGGGCCGCGCGGCGCGAAAGCGCGCGATGGGTCGGCGCCGGCGGCGGCGAAGAAACGCGCGCGCGACGACGACGACGCGACGACGACGCGACGCGCGCGCTCGACGGACGCGGTCGCGAAGACATCGCGCGCCGCGAACGGGTCGACGTCGGACGACGGGAAGACGATGGTGTTCGACGGACGACGGACGGTTTCGGCGGCGGCGGCGAAGGCGAAGGCGCGGGACGCGAGCGCGGCGAGCGCGAGTCCGAGCGGACGGCTGATCGATACGAAAAAGGCGCGAAAGGCGTTCATGAGCGCCGAGGCGGGGAAGGTGCTGAACGATGACGTGGTGAGAGCGGCGCGCGAGCGCGACAAGGACGCGGAGGATGGCGGCGAGGCGAGGTTCGGGAAATTTAGCGCGCTGCGGGAGGAGGTGCAAGCGTTCGGCGCGCGCGGATTGGCGAAGTGGGATAGGCAGGCGCTGGAAACGAAACGATTGGTCGAGCTCGGGATGAAGCCGAAGAAAGGACCGAGGATTCCGCCGACCATCGGCGTCGGGTTGGCCAAGGCGAACGAAAAGCGCGCGGAGACGGCGAGGCAGGAGGCGTTCGCGGCTGGGTATAAGCTCGAAAAGAAGGCGGCGAAGAAGTCGAGCGATGCTGCGCGCGATCGCGGATTAGCGTGGGGGTCGTCGACGTTTAGTACCAGTAACGGGGTGATGAAGGTGAACA